ATATATATATATATATATATATATATATATATATATATATATATATATATATATATATATATATATATATATATATATATCGTAAAAAAGTCATATTTTTCTGCGTAAATTCTTGAGAATTAAAAAGTTCTTTTTTATGTTGACCCTTCCTTGGAGCTAGTTGGTATACTAACCTAAATATTTCAATTTTGAGACATTATAAGTTTTAATATCTTTTTTTTTTGGGGATAAATCGAAGGGGATGCATCGATCGTTTTTTGTGTATTAGATCTTTTTTTTGCTAATTTTGAGTGGATGCATAATATGTAAAAGATGCTCTGATCGCATCAGATGCATTAGGTACCTTCTTGTTTTTGACAAATGATGGTTTGGTTCGCTTCATGGGTTTTTTTTTTTAATCTTAGACAAATATATCGTATGCAAAGGGGACGCTTTAGGCGTTGGTTGCATAAGATGCTTTATTTTTCTTCTTTTTTTTTTCTTGTGTTTATGTATCAAGTGTGAAGAGCACACTTTGATTATTTTTTTATCTTACATGAGAAAGACAATTTGATCACATCTAATGATTCAAAGTTTATTTTTATCTTTGACAAATCTATTACATAAAAAGAGGCAAATACTTCAAAAGAATTTTTTTCATGGATGAATATATCATGAGATGTTTTGATTATATTGAATACATCTTTTGCCCAGAGGAAACGCAAGAGACTACTTTGGTCATACTAAATGGTATATTAAGAAGATAGTAGATAGTTTTATATTTTTTTTTTTACATTTGTTCTACCATGCATGAGATAGACGATTCGATCACATCTAATTATTCAAATGCTATTTTGAATAATTCTTCAGATTTTTTTTTGTCATGGATGAATATATCATATGTAAAGGAGATGATTTGATTATATTAAACACATCTTTTGCCTTGAGCTATATCATTTTGGTCACACTAAATGGTATATTAAGAAGATAATAGATAGTTATATATATATATATATATGTTCTATCAATTTTAACAAGTAGATACTTTTAAAAAACACAACGATAAAGGGGTAAATAAAATCCTTTTTATTTTTGACATGAGTGATGTGGGTTTGAGAAGCCCATCCGAACCTACTGACTTGAGCCTCCACCATGCTGAGCAAGAGTTGCTATCTCCTCCTCCTCTCTCGCTATATTGTGTTTGCCAACATCAACATTAAGACACAAGTGAGAGTGAGTTTTCTGTCTTAAAAGAGAATGATGACCTTTAGAAAAATAATTTTTTTCTTTTTATAAATATTCTACCTGACATATAGCATAGTACTAACTTGCACCCAAGTGGGGCAGTGAGACCTCTGATCAGGTCGAGAGTCATGACTGAATCATGGATAACTATTTTTAAGGATAGAAAATACTTAGATCTCATATTCCATTTTATTCTATTTCTATAAAAGACTATGTCAGGGGAGTACATTTGATAATGTTACTTCGATAGTCAGATCAATCTTAGTCTTATTAGTTACGATAAAAAAAAAAATGCACGTAAGCATTTTAAGAGTTTTAAATAAAAACATATTCGGAGGTTACCTTATATGATATTATTTTCATAATCATAAGTTTATTTAAAAAAAAATCATTTAAGTATTATATTGATATTGTCAGAATATGATGGGTTAGTTTGTTTATCAACTTTATTTAATCTAAATTATTGATGAAAATCCTTATAAATCAATCATAATTTTTTTTTATTTTTAATACAGAACTAATCGGGATGTTACTTATGTAACATATCTAATAGGTTCTTTATCGTTGTAATAATTGTCTATAGATTTTATATATCGATTGATCGATAATATTCATCATATCAATTTAAAAAGTTATTATATGATTAAATACTTTATATTTATATATAAGGAAGGCGTTATCTCAATCGTTAAAAATCTATTTTCAACTTACACTTTTATCAGTTGTAAGATCTTCTCTATTGACCACAATTTTGTTTATAAATTGTGTAGAAGGAATTACCTACAAAGTGTTGGAAAGAATGCTATTAGCACTGCCAATTCTACATCATTTTGGTATGGCAACTGGCTTTTACAGCATTCAACTAGCAAAAGATGTATGTTTCCCATATCATGAGACACTGATATCTCACTCAGAGCCAAAGCTGCTCCTGTTGTAGCCAACCAAAAGTGGATTTTACCACCTTCTGCTCTGTAGAAATGGAGATTCTGCAAGAACAACAACCAGACATTCTACATTTGCTGTTCCAAATCTTTGGGAACACATTAGGAAGAAGCAGCAGATAATTAATCATGTCTTTTTTCTTAATGGTGGCAACATGGTCTAATGATCAACACTAATCATTCCATAACATTTATTCTGGAATTTGGATAATCACAGATAATTAAGCATGGTGTTACCAAACAACCTTCTTGTGGCTGGAGATTCCATAGTGTTAATGATCAACACTAATCATTAAGTGTGCACATGGTAATTTTGGCAGGCACCTTAATTAAGATCTGTGTTGGCTTCATCTGCCTCCATTTAGGCTTGATGGTGTGCAAATTATTTGTCAGGTTGAAGCAAACAGTATTAGATTATATGATTTTATATAATTAAGTTATATGATTCATTAAGATAAACCCTTGTATCTTGTGTTCCTTAAGGAGTAGCTTGAAAGCTTAATATTGGTTTTAGTAAGCAATGGGCTACGTTTATTGTTGACTAATCGAATAGTGATAAGACGGATACTTTTTGAACTAAGAAAGAAAAAATCGACATATTAGGAAAGATCTCGATAGGATGATTCTCCTAATTATCTTTTATATGCTCTCTTCTCTCGCTTATATATAAGTAGGACTTTCTAACGATCATATTAAGATCTTTAATATATTATTTCATAATATCCAATGTACTCTTTTGATTATTATATTTAAAAAGTATATATTCTTTATATTTTAAATTTACGATACTTGATTCTAATAATGACATTAAATTTTTATATAATAATTTTAACTTTTATAATTAATATTACAAACCTTTCCTTGATTGTCCATACAATTGTCTCTCTAATTGATAATTGGATACTCAAAGTGTGATAGAGGTATTTCTGATAGTGTTTTTATCATACTATCTCAACTTTTAGGTATTTTTGATATTGTGTTTTTAGTGGACTGCCTCAACTTTCCATTTCCTTTGTCTTTACTTTGATGTTAATTTTGTTTTCTTGATGATTGCAGTGAAAATCTTACACATCTAACCAAAAAAAAAAAAGCATGGAAATTTGGATGCTGTTTTTATGAAGGGTTGAGATGTGGAGACATGGATTCAGCTGATGAACCTTAAAATAACCTCCCAGCAATAAATCATAAATTCAAATTGTTAGAAAAATATTCATATGCAAGATGAAAATTGAGAGAACTAACTATAGTTTTCCACTGTCAAATTTAAAAGGATCAAAGAACATATATTATGTTTTAAAACTTTCAGTGCAAATCAATCTGCTATCATATTGCATAAATAATTTTGTACCCCTAAATGATCATTCATGTCTGGCATGGAGATCTTGACATGCACTCATATTTCTATTTTTTTCTCTTCCTCTCTCTTTATCTCCACCAATTAATTAATGAATCATTTTCCTGCTCTCTCCACCACTAATTTAGCTCAATTCTTACTTCTTAAGAACAAAGATATATGCTTACAAGTCAAATTGAAAACACTGATGAGTAGTTTAAATATAAAAGTTTAGGAAGTATTTATTCCTCTATTAGCATAAATAAATAGTTGTCAGACATGTAGGAAGTGTAATGAATCTTTTTTTATACCATTTTGTTATCCACTTGTTTACCCCTTTTTTATTAGACAGAACACTGGGACCCACACCAGAAGAATTGTTGTAACCATTCACTGTACAGGTAAGGTTTGAAGTGACGGAGGAAAGTATTGACGTACTTTTCTTTTTGGGATACAGAAATTGATGATATTGGCAAATTAGTTAACCGCTGCATACGTCGTGATTTTTCTTACGATTTAGCTCACGACACTGTGATCTGAGGCACGTCCCGTGCGGCGAGGAGAGGTGCGGTTTGGGCAGTGCCCTTCTTGATGGGCGCCACGTATCATGTTTCGTTGCTTAAGTCGTTAACGGTGGGCTAATTAGTTGCCCAAATATAAAGAGGGGGCGGAGAGAGAGAGAGAGAGAGAGAACGACGCCTCTACGATTCTTGCCCGTCTCCCATATCGACTGCCGAGGTCGCGTTCCCTCTCCTCCTCGCTGCCTCGCTCTCTTCTTCGTTTCTTCTGCTTCTCCTTCTTCTTTCCTCTCTCTATTGCTGGAGCGGCAGAGACCGCAGACGACGAAGAAGCGGCGGAGGCGTCAGGGAGAAGGGGGAAGAGGAGGAGGAGGAGGAGCGGAAGAAGCCATTGGGAACTATGCGATCGGATGAGGAGAGCGAGGAGGAGGATTCTGACGCGCCGACGAGAAGGAGAACCGCCGCCGCCACCGCCACCATCACAATCGCTGGCCGCGGCAGCGGCCGTTGATGGCGTTGCAGATGACCTGGCATCCAAGGTGCCGCAGGGGCGGCCCCCCTCTCGGCCTTAAGAACCTCGGTAACTCATGCTACCTCAACAGCGTCCTCCAGTGCCTCACGTACACCCCTCCCCTCGCCCAGTTCTGCCTCTCCTCTCGTCACTCCTCACTCTGTAAGCCCTAACCTCTCGATCCCTTGTTTTTTCTTTGATTTTTTGCCCTATGTCGCTTTAGAAGTTTCAATAAGCTGTTGGGGATTCTTTATGTAGGCAAGTCGCTCTTCGCGAACCGGGACAAGGAGTGCCCCTTCTGCATCCTCGAGCGGCAGATCGCTCGATCCCTCAGCCTCGACGGGCCGCTTGAAGCCCCGTCCAAGATTCATAAGTCCCTTGCCCTCTTCGCCGAGCACTTCCGGTGGGGCCGCCAGGAAGACGCCCACGAGTTCCTCCGCTACGTAATCGACGCCTGCCATAACGCCTGCCTCAAGATCCACAAGCGAAACGGCGGCGGAGGGACTCCGGATGGTAACCCAAAGGCGGAGGGCCGCTCAGGGCCCAGCACCGTGATGAAGGAGATCTTCGGAGGGGCCCTCCTTAGTCAGGTGAAGTGCCTCGCGTGCAAGGGGGAGTCAAATAAGTCGGACGAGATCATGGACATCTGCCTTGATCTCTTCCAGAGCAGCTCCTTGAAGGATGCCCTAGCTCGATTCTTTCATCCTGAAGTATTGGACGGCAACAATAAGTACAACTGCGGCAAGTAAGCACGTCATCCTGATATTGATCTCTTCTTTCTTGCATAATTTTGCAAACCATGTTCATTCAACTCAGATGCTGTTTTTCCTCCTTTCAGTTGTAAGAAACTCTCTGTTGCCAGAAAGCAGATGTTTATACTTCGAGCACCAAATGTGCTTGTCGTGCAGCTCAAGGTGGTTATTATTTTCCTTGGTTTTCTGCCTAATAATTGGCTGTTGTGTATCGTTTGGAGTTTTACTAGTAAGCAAATTTATCTTCTTGTAGAGATTTGAAGGCATACATGGTGGGAAGATCAACCGGAACATTGAATTTGATGAAGCTTTGGGGCTTTCAGAGTTCATGTTCAGTATGAGTCAGGTTCACCTTATACCTTTTTGTGTTAAATCTCTTTTTGTGTTATGAATATACGAACAATAACAACAAAGTCGTAAGTCACAGTTATTTGGCATCGGCTACATGGGTCTTTTGCTGCCATTGAGATATAAAAAAAGTAATACGTTTAGTTAAGTTTAGAATACTTAAATTTTTATTTATAATTTTTATTAAGATCTTTCTGGATTTTCCTTTATCTCTCCTAATACCACTAACATTAGTCATTACACATTTTCTAACTATCACATCTGAATGTCTCCTAAGCGCATTCTCATATCATCTTAAACGATTCTCTCTCATCTTATTCTCTTTCAAAACAATACCTAGTTGTTCACGAATAAGAATATCTTTTTTTTTTTTGTAATTCCACATATCCATCTCAGCAACACCAACTTTTTGGATATGTTATTACTTAATTGTCCAACTTTTTGTGTTATGTATGCGGCGATCAAAATATGAGTCCTGTTCAATTGAGCACGAGCATTAATCTCCTTTTGTGTTATGTATGTGGTGATCAAAATAAGCATGTAGGTCAATTGGACCATATCTGGGTCTCTCTGATGAGCAATTGATTGGGTAATAGAGGTTGTACTGCTGAATTTTACAGAATGAGGACTTTCTAAATTTTAATTTTTCATAGTGCTATTTCTTAACTGAACTGATTGTGGTTGCAATTTGCGTGTGGCATTAGAAAAGAATTATTACACATTACCATCGTTAGTCACGCTTTACCATAATCAGCATTCTAGGACTCTGCATTATTGACAAACATAAAAATCAGGCCTCATAGTGTTGGTCTATAATTCCACTACATGAAAATTGCCATGGATTTCTTGCATCATTAGCATTGGTGGTGCTAGCAGCATTTATAGATTGAAGATAGAATGTGATCTCTATTAGTAGTTTTTTATGTGAGCTTTTCTTCACAAAGAATATAGTAGAGAAACATGTCTCATATTTACAAGTTCTTGGTGAAAATGCATAAAACTTTTGGAGCCCCAGGTACTTGAGGTGGTCACTTGGAAAAAGAGTTGTTCTGATAATTTGATTCATCAGCTTTTGTGCCAAAAAAATTTCCAGTCTTGAATCATACCCTCTAAGATGGTTAAATGTAAAGTCTAATCAACACAGCCTTTTGGTAAAAAGTGTGATACAATTATATTTCTAGACTTGATGAGATTATGGTACAGTGAACTGAGTTATTTTTTAATGCCAAAGCTGATGAGAAGTGTTGCATGTTTTTGTGAGAGTTGTAACCTGTGAGAAACAGTTATTAGTAATCTGCAATGAAGAACTTGTCAACATCTTGAATTTTTGGATATGAAGTATGAGTAACTGAGCATCCTAAAACAACAAATCATCTTGCTACGAAGGAATTCACTGGGCACTAGTGATTCTAAAAGAGGTGGTTGCAGGCTCTTGTGACTTGGCTGGAATAGTAGCTATTTCAGCAAGACTTTTTTTCTCTTAGGTCTCATGGTGCCTGTTAATTTTGTACTTTGTGATACCTAGTATGTTAAGACCTGGCGATGCAACATGTATTTGATAAGAAAACAACTTCTTAAACAAATTGTTGGACTGAAAATGCTTTGCAAAATGTTAGACTAGGTTAGGCCACTGTGACTTGCTGGAACAGTAGTTTCAGCAAGACTTTTGTCCCCTTGGGTCTCGTGGTGCCTGCACTTTCTAGGCCGGGCAGTTTTATACTTCATGTTAAGACTTAGTGGTGCAAGATGTACTTGGTAAGAAAACATCTTCCTAAGCATATTGTTGGACTGAATGTCTTCCTTTGCATATTGTTGGACCAGATTAAGCTTGAGCCATTAAAGGACTAAATCAAACTGGTTGTTGTTTTAGTTGTTTGTTTGTTATTGAGGTTAGGGTGGAGTTATATTCTGGAGTTGAATGTTTTCCCTGTTCTTGTGGGATGTAATCAATCAGTTAATGTCATGAATTTTGAGCAAGTAAAAGAGCACAAATTAGTTTCTTTATATTGGTGAATGATATATATACACGTGTTTGTGTGTATGTGTGTGTGTGCTATGTTTTCTTTTTTTTCTGCATGAAATATTACTGCAAAGCCCCTAAACTTTGACATATTCCAGAGGATTGGATGATTAAGTTTTTGTGCTAGGGAGCCTTAGTCATGTATGAGTTATTAGAGTTTGAAAAAACATGGTTTTCATGCTGAAGTTAGGTAATTTTTCCGGAGCAAAGGAACCTTTTGTCTAAATGAGGGTGTTTTTTACGTCGGAATGATTCTTTACTTTGCAAGGAACTTTGGCACCTTTTAAATGACGGTAAAATAGACCTATGCCCCTACCATGTCAATGGGTAGTTTGTATGTTGTTTGGAGAAAAGGGAGTCGTTCTTCCCCTCTTCTTGCTTTACTATCTCAGAGTCTAGATGAGTAGAATGTGCTATTATATGGAGAATTGATGATCAAGAAGGTGTTAACTAGGGGTTTTTATAGTTTGTGGAAGAAGATGGTTGCACCAAAGTAATTGGCTCTGTTAATCAAAATCTTTAAAAATGATCAATTTGTGGGTTGGCTATTTAAACCATGTTATATTAAATAAATAATTCTCCAGCTTATAATGATGTTTCTTTATTATATTTGAATTGAAAGATCTATCAGATCACACATTTGATTTTATGTTTCTAAATACTTGTTCTTATTTTGTAAAAGTAAGATATTGACTAAGGTTTCAATCTGGGATCAGTTGTAAGATTTATTATTTTTACTTTAAATGGTCATGTCTATTAGATCACACATGATTTAAGCACCTTGTTCATGACCTTAAATTGTTTTCTACCTGCCAAATAACCTTTTTGCTTTCTTTTGAGTCTTTCTTTCTGGTTAGGATCTATGTAACAGGTTGATCATAGAGGGCCAATGACTTGCCAGATACTGTGAACTTATAATCAAATCTTTCACTAAGCGTATTGGATTTTGAGCAGTACACTTTAGTCAATTTCCTTTGAAGTTTTATCTACTTAGAAACTAAGGACAAATGAGAGATTTTCTTATTTCTGTTGGTGTCTCTGATAGGAGGTTCTCCAAGCTGAGTTGGAGAAGAAACCTTTCTAAGCTACCAACTAGGAATCTAATTGCAAGTAAACTGACTTTTTTGCAATAAAACTAGAGAAATCATCCAAGCAAAGCTATAGAGGCTATTGTCATCCTACATTACTTAGTTTGGAACTTCTAATTGGTTTTGGATCCTCCTTTGACCCTCCAGAGCTTTCCCAAATCTATCCACTGCTGTCCCTACCACTTTCAGATGAAAATAGGCATTGCAAGCCATCATATTAGCAGCAACACCTGCTCCCAAGTCACCGGCCATGGCTAGCATTGCTGGAGATGGGGCTGGCTGCCTTGTGCAGCCTTCTATAGGGCCAAACAATCCTGTAGATTGGCTGAACATGAACCTGTCTTGGTCAGCCATTGCATGTGTTAGATCAATGTCTGCATTTAGTCCAGCTTGCCTTGTAATATTTCGTTAGGAATAATGGATCTTGAACAATTACTACATAACGAAACTGATATATGTGAGAGTTAAGAAGGCTGCACTTTGTTTGATATTAGGAGGAAATTACTGCCTGGACACCTGTACTGGTGGATATTGTCAAATGCATGTCTTATGATCATGCCATATGTTGTTGCATGTTGTACACTAGAGTGTGGTCCTTTATGCGTAAGAACACATTAGCGTCATCAGGGTGTATGGTGTATGCACTGGCAGCATGATACTGTTGGTGCCGTACCATACATATGTTTCTACATTCATTGCATTATCTGATGCTTTGGCGCTTCTGATTTCTATGGATTTTTAAGGAAGGATTTTTGGATCTCCAAAGGAATTTTTATAGATCTTGAGCAAAAGAAGTCAGAGAGTTGATACCTTTGATAGGGCTTACCTTATCATATTGTCTAGTTTGCTTTTCTTTGACTCCTTCTGTTGTCCTCTCTTTATCTAACCACTTAATCTTTGCATCCCTATCTTTTCAAAGGCAAAGCAAAGATTAAATGTAAGACCTGCTTGCTTTCCATTAAGGTTTGTGGGAATACACTATGTACTATGTAGGTTTGCTAGTGACAAACATAATTTCATGTGTGAACCTAGAGGGTTATTCATACAGTTCTTGGCAGAAAGGCCACAGTGGATAGTTGACCTAACTGTCTGTAGTGAGACGATGAGGTGTGGGATTTTATAGTGGTGGATGACTGATGGATTTCTCGATGGGATTGGGACTCCTGGTTGAAGAGGGTTTTGATGGTGTCAAGTGCACTAGTGAAGTTTCTTTACAGTAACTGCAATACAATTTGGTTGATTGGGTTTGGACTCTACGTGGCCCTCATCCTTGTTTAGTTTGAGTAAATGATAACTTGTAAATTGCCTTTTCTTTTGAAAATGGGGTGGACTAGGGTTTTATTAGCTTGTTAATTTATCCTTTAGAAGATATCCATTTTAAAGTGATTAATATATTGTGTCTGCCGATTATTGATGTGTTTGAGTTGCAGGATCCTGAGCCAGAGTATAATCTTTTTGGCAGTATTGTGCATTCAGGATTTTCACCAGAGTCTGGACATTATTATGCATACATCAAGGTATCCGCATGTTAGTTTGTTTTTCTCAGTCTTCAATTCTTCAACTCTTCAATTTTGTATCCTTTGTTCATTTGGGTGCACCTAACCAGATCTTATTTACGTTTCACATGATCCACAGGATGCTTCTGGTCGTTGGTACTGTTGTAATGATGCTCAAGTTTCACTTTCAAGCAGACAAGAGGTTTTGTCAGAGAAGGTTTATATCCTTTTCTATGTACGCAGCAACGGAAGCCCAAAGCCAAGCAAAATTGTTTCTTCTTGCAACGCATATAAACCTTCAGTGACAAATGGAAACGATACATCAAGCTTAAAATCTACTGAAACACTGAAACCAACAATCATCAAGTCAGATGGCGTGTCTTCTAAGAATACTGCTTCGACCATGCTGAAGAATGGTAAAACATTTTCATCTCCACAATTTAAGCCCATTAATCTGAAGAACTTGGAGATAAAGCAGGCTATTTCAAATGGTAATGGCAACCTTGATCTTCAGAATAAAGGGTCTATTGAGAAGGGTACGGTTGCACTTGAATGTGGTTTTGTGGGTGAAACTAAGATAGTACAAAAAGTCAAGACATCAATGGCATCTAATCTCAGTTCTGCCAATGTAAATTTTTCTTCTGATACGGTGGAGAAAAATAATAAGCAGACATTATTTTTACCAAATGTAAATGCATGTACAAAAGAATTGGATATGGATGCTCATGTGGAGGACATTGAAGGTGCAGCAACTCTGAATAGAGGTTTTGATAATGGCAGTTCATCGAAATTGGAGACTAATAAGCATCATGCTATTGTATCGACTTTTAACACAGAGTTATCTAATACTAAAACAACTGAAAATTTAGCAAGTGATTTGCCGAGGGGAAATGGTTCACACAAGAATCAGAGAGCATGTGGTAAAAGGCATTACCAAGAGGAAATTGAGAAGTTCAAAGAAGTGTAAGTGTATTACCTTGTTTTCTTCATGCTTACATGTATGCAAGATGTTTATCGTGATTCTCAATCTTATTTCTTTTTGCTCATAATGGTGTTGGCTTCTTAGACTTGCTGGAGAAGCCTCTTCTGAACTGCACTCTTGTGGCTGGGTTGATCAGGTTCAAAATTTCATGCGTGCTAGAAAGAGATTATGCATGCAAGAATCAGGCACCTCTTCTGATAATAGTCTAATAAGGTAAAAGATTTTCTTTGATTGTGCAATTGTAAGTTTAGATATATTTCATGGCTTTCTTTTTCAAGCATCAGATAAGATGATAGTTTATTCGGCAATAGTCTTAATTTAAGTCTGAGTTTATTATGGACTTTTTCGCGCTCATGCATTTTTGTAGTTCTTGTAAAAACTTCTGAGACATCTTCACCGGAGATTTCTATTAAAATATCTTATCTAACCTAACCTATGAAGATATGCTGTTGAGTAATTTTTTTCAATAGTAGGCTAACAAAAACCTGTCGTAAAATAAAGTTTCATCAGATCTTCAATGTTTCTATGTAGCTAATATTATCTAATGCAGGAGACACTTGATCAATGATGCCAGAAAGACCTTCATCTCACAAATTCCTGAGTCTCTAAAGGAGCACCTCATTGAGCACCTCAGATTTTTCAGTCAAGAAACACCTTTATTGGATTCTTGAATTTCAGATGATGGTATGATTTCTGCTATCAAATTCTGAAAACCGTTTCCAGAAGAATTTTTTCTTTCATTTTCTTGTAATGGTGACGTGAAGGGACAAATTGTATGAAGAATGTCTAAAGCAATTATTGGTTATGCAGTCCTTTATGTTGCGACTGGATGATGCATGGATATACTATTGACTATTCCAAATTTGAAGGGCATAATTTCCTTCTCTGCAAAATTCTTTTGGTATGTGGAGAATGTTGAAGACCTTTTTTGCATCAAGCTCCATGGGTTTCAGGAGATTTATCACTTGAAGCTTCTACTTCAGTTCATGTGTATCTGAGAATATTATTGATTTCATTGGCACTTCCCCTATCAGTGAGATTCACAATTTTGAGGTTAAAAGTTTTGCGGAGTAACTTCCTATGTAACATATCTTTTTTGATATTGTCGCTGATGATCAATTTCCCAAGGCTTATCCTTTTTTCATTCTTCCAATATGTTGTGCAACTGAATCTCGAAGACGATTGCAGTCAGGAGCTACATGAAGTGAGTTTCGGTTCTTCTTTTTTAAAACTCTTGTTGTCCTTGTAGCTTTCTTTCCATATTTCATGAAGTTAAGTTGATGTATATATACCTTGCCAGAAGTATTTCTTTCTAAAGATTTTGCTTTGGCATTTAACTTAAGCTGGATTTTTACTGCATTTTTCTGTATCACAGAAAATTAATGCCTGCCAACTTGTCTTTTCTTCTTCGGTTATAGGAGTGTTGCATTTTTAACACGTAATACACAACAAAGTTTACTTCTGGTGCATGTCTCAATAGTTTGTGCTTTAAATAATTATTTTTGTGAACAAAATATGAGTTGCTGGTTTTTTCTTCCATATGAAGTCATATACTTTAAAATTGAGTGTGATACTATTCTCACTTTTCTGACTAAGTATGTGGTAGTGTACCTATTAGTGATTCAAATAATTAGTCAAGTACGTGGGTTGAAGAAAATTAATTCTCTAGCAAGACAAGTAAGACTTGCATAACCAGTAATCATACTTATTAAACATGTATGTAGTCAATATTTTGCACCACATAATTTTTGCTGGACCGGGTATATCTCATGTGCCTCATGTCTTGCAATGCGGACACATTTTAGAAAGTTGAATTGTATACACAAAATGATCCTTACTAATTTTGACACACCAAGTAGGCGAAAATTCTATGTATGCTTTGCTAGTCTATTTTTATCATCTCAACAAGATAGAGATCGAGGAACACAATCTTGTATCCGACCTGTACCGACATTGGATCAGTACATACCATCAGTACTGGTGTATCAACACTTGATACACTGATATGTACCGAAAATAAAGAAGAGGAAGAAGAGGAAGAGGTGATGGAGGAAGAGGACAGTGGAGGAAGGGGAACAGGAGGAAGAGGATAAGGAGAAAAGGAGGAAGCATATCCAAAACCATGTTGACAGTGAACATTGGGTGGCGAGGAGGCTGGCGGCAGCGAACGGCAACATTCCGCTTGTGGAGAGGGAGAAGTTTGTGGAGTTTCTTTTAATCAGCAAATTACTGAACTTTTAAATCAGTTTAGAACTTTTTTTTTTTGGTCTTTTCCTTTTCATTCGAAAGACTGGAAGAAATCACTGTTTCAGATTTTAGTTTACATGTCAAACATAATCAATGGTTTAGTCTAGTCTTGTGCTGATGCGAGTATATATTGTTTTTCTTCATGAATTTGTTAATTTTGTTGGTTATCAATGTAAATATCTTGCAATACGCAAGTCACCATTTAATTTTAGTTGTCTCATTTGTTTATATAGTTATGCATAAGAATTCTTTTCTGTAGGAAAATTTGAACTCATATTTTCATGCCCCTGATATTTTTAATAATGAATGTTCATGAGAGATGCTTTGGTTCCCAATGAAGTGGGGTCTGACAAAGGTATATTTCATCCGGAGCTTCTGTTGCTTTTAAGATTATTAGGTTGCATTCAGATTTCAGTGTGACATTAAAATCTTACATTAGGCCTTGTTGCTCTCTTTGTCATTTACACAAAATATACAACTCAAGTGGCTTGCCACCTTGTCTGGGGGGGGGATATTATTCCATCAAATGGTTGGATGTTGGTAGTCTGACCAGTGCTTAAGTCTGGATCATGTTATGTACACTTGATTTGTATGCCAAATTAACTCACACGTGGACCAGTTCATTTCCATGATTCATTACTCTTTTCTAATTTTCTAGAATGAGAGATACGGTAGACTGCTAAACCGTAGAGAACATTTTGGAAATAGTTAGTGTGCTTGTACTGGTCATCCATTTTGCTGAATTTGTTGATAGGAAAATGGAAATAAAAAGTATATAAATCTTCTTCTTACTTTGGCCAACTTGAAAGAAACTGGTCATATATATTGTGTTGTGATAGGAATGGCAAGAGGTAAGCATGTTTGCCATTCATTCGTAGGTCTTCTTTTATGGTTCATACCATTGAAGCGGTGGGAGGGGACATTGTTCTGTTGTACGCTTATTTCTTCTATATGTTTGCTAGACATGATATTTGGACATTTGTTTTGATCTCATGCCTATGCTTTTACATATGCAATTACTTGCTTGGGGACAAGTCACATAGGTCACAGCGTTGTTTGCTTTAGCAATTATCACTTCAACGCATCTGAAAAGCTTTGGTTACCATCTAAAACCTTCCAAGTGGGTAGTATGTATGTATGGTCTTTTGATGGAACATTTTTATTATGCTTGTTATTCCTTGATGGTTCTTTGTATACCCAAAGTAGATGACGATTGGTTGTTTTGAGACTGGCATCTCTTACAGGCCTCCTAAATGTTTGACATGCTCAACGTGTGTGTGACCTCAAAGTTTGAATCCTGGCCATTTGACTTAGACCCGGCATGGTGTTGTTATAACCGGTAAATTTGGGTACCGCATGTGATGGATGCTCATCCTGCTTATAGGAGGCATCTGGTCATGAGTGGAGGCACCACGCGGATTGGAGAATATGATATCGGACAAGTATATAATTAGTAGTTGTTTCTCTGTGTTGTTTGTTTCAATGTAGTTGAATGGGACCGCCGCTCATTTTTTTTAAAATTCTTATGCACTTTTATTACTGTGAATCCTGAGGAGGCACTGTTTGATCAGAAATTAGAATTTCACAATCGTGAAGTCATTTTCAGAACGAGAAATCTACACATTGACGGATGATGGCAAAACTGAGAAATTTGGGGGAAGTTCGATTCCTACTTCTCAGGCGACAGTTTAACATTATTTTCATTTTTTGTATTTGCTCCAATATTTTCATTTGAAGGATCGTGCAGATGTTTTTGTTTGGGGAATCGATCGAAGAGAATGCCTGTACAGATGTTTTTGAAGGCGTCTAAATGCATACAGCAGCATCCTTTAGTTGTGAATTTCCATGTAGATCCTGCTCGAGGCACGATACACGTAAACGTGGCGTACCCCAGGGATTCTGTTCCGACACGGTTTACTTGTGCCAGAAGCAAATGGTGAGCAAAGTGGCATCTCTGCCGGTCTTCTGCTAACAAAAAAGGAAAAAGAAAAATCAAACGGGTCATCCTCGGAGTTTCCACGATATCATATATATATATATATATATATATATTACCAATTAAGAAAGAACAATAATATTTTATAATGTTCTTTTCTTACCCCCTTTTTTTTTTCCTAATTTCCTTTTTTTCAAACCAATTACCAACTGACTAATTTTTCCAGTTGCTCGATCATGCAACTTGGTTGTATGAGGTTAGATTTGGGTAACGGAAGAAGCGAGACGACTGGGAAAAAGAAAAAGAGGAAAAATAAAGAGAGAGAGAGGAAGAAGAAACTCAAATTGGAGCATGCACGAAAAAACCACAAAAAGAGGGGGAGGGGCTTAAACACAGTGAAAATTGGAGAAGCTATCTGAGTTTCTTTTTTTTTTGTTCTTTCTTTTGGAAATAGTTTTACTACTTCAGGGATAAAGTTATTACTGTCATACCTAATGACGCATCACTATCTTATGGATCTCATACCTACCTACAAAATTAATATCTCTGTAGAGAAGGAAATCAATGCCAAGTATAAAAAATTACTGTAAAAAACACAACGCAGTCAAGAAGACAAAATTCAACACAGCAGAACGCAGGCATCGAACACGAAGCCCCCTACACTGGGGATGCAAGAAACGAACCGGAGAAAAACGGAGATCGAAATCGATTGGAACAACCCTAATCGAATTGTAATCCTCACAGGCGAAGCGAAAGGCCAAAAGAGAGAGAGAGAGAGAGAGAGACTGGGATCCGCAACAGTGATCCAGAACCAGACCTAAGAACCCTAACAGAAAACGAGGACGACACCTTTCTCATGACGAGATGTAGCAAATCGATCGATAAGAACACTAATCATTTGAGAAAATCTGAGAGCGCGAGAGGAGAACAAGATAGATTAGGGGATCCCGCAGCAGCTGTGATTAAGAACCCCAACAACAGAAAACGTGGGACAAAACCCAAAAGACATGAAGCTAATCAAGATCACAATCCTCGACGACACTGGGAGAGGCAAGAGAGAGAGAGAGAGAGAACAAATTAGGGAGGAACCACCAGCAACTGCCATCCGAGAACCCTAGCAAAACAAAACAAAACAAAACGGGGAAGGCACAGATCGTACGAGGCGATGAGAAAGTCCGAACTATCAAAAACCCCTATTAAAGATCGCAATCCTTACCGGCAACGCGAAACGCAACGAAAAAGAAATGGAAATTAGGAGATCAGAGAATAGGGAGATGGATCTTTGCGACCAGGATCGAAGGAAAGGTATACCTCTAGTCGCCTGTTCCCAGTTCCTCCCGGAAAAGTATGCCACCGTTGTCGCGCCTCTTACCGGCCTTACCACGCCAAGCATTCAACATACATACCAGTGAGTTAAAGTTTTAATGTACCAATTCTAAAATAATGTATTTAACTCCGAAAGTTTTAGTAAAAACAAATAATTAATTCAAGTTACTGTAATAATTTAAAGTTGTTCTCGCTAATTATTTCTTTTTTTCTACTACTTCTCCTATGATATACTGAAAAAGAAATAAATATTTTAAGAACTAGATTAGATGTTTAAAAATTGAAATAAATTCTATTATGTGTAAAATGGTTTGTTATGCCCAGAATAATTTATTTTTTTATAAAAAATAAAAATAAAATTCCAACACAATACCTTTGCATATTGAGATATTGAGGGGAGCAAAGAAAATCAATCGATTGACAGGGAATAATTAAAAGGGCATGAAACAAAACATAAAATAATCAATAAACTAAAACTATAAATCATAATTCTCGATAAATTTAATACCCACACCATTATGTATCAAAGAAAACTGATTGAAAAAGTCGAACCATATGATCCTGTCTTGATTGTTCTCTATGTAAAAAGCTAAATTTGGAACCTATGTTAATAGAGATGTATACTAGTTTTACAAGAAACTGACGATGAGGGGACAACGCCGATCCATAGCCCTTCAACAAAAACTGGGAAGGCTACTTAGGCCAACAAAATCACACTCAAATTTGATATCTCGTGATAAAAAAATTTGCCCCAGCTCCAATGATTTGACAAAGAAATTACCCGGTGGCCAGCACCTTAATCATCTAGAGTTGCAGCACTCAGCTCGGCTGTGCGACAATTTTTCCCACAAACATATCATCTGCCTAGGCGATTGATAATGCGCCGTGTAATAGTTCTCCATGCATCCATACTGACAGAACTTCCAACTGTGGGAATATCGAATTATCATGGTGGTGTTCAACTCTTCAACCCACATACCCATGCTCACATCTTCCATTTTGAATAGCTGCAAGAAAGACGTGTCAGATATATCCTGCGTGTACATGATTAGGGTCTCAAGAGTTGCAACGCTTACTCCTAAGCTTCGGTTAGCATGCTGGGCTACAACAAATCTAGCAATATCACTTGAGATTACGTATCCAGGCCCATTCGCATATGGAGGATATATCTCTTCTGGCCATTCCTGCATGCATCAGTATCATAAACAGTTCATTAAGGAAAAAAAATAATCACCACATATTAGTAATTGTAAGATATACAATCATACTTCAAGATAGTCTAACATATTCTACAATTATAGACTTCAGACTGATGTTAACCAAGGGAAGATCAACATCATAGAATCAACCATGCCTAATTCATGAACACACCTTTGACATTAAGGGATGTGCCCATATCTCACGTGTTGTAGAGAGAGAACATGGGCAACTAGTTGACGTTCTCAAATGCATAGAAAGTTACACACATAATAAAAACAACTCCTAGAAATCTTTATTTACATCGGTTCAGTTTACTTACCTCAAATGTGACTGCCCATTTTCCACTCCTGAGTGGCGTATGGAAGTGGTTTATATTACCCATGTACAGAGAAGTATTAGGAGAAATGGCTTCAATAATTCTTAGTATTACATCCACCCTAACAAATGTATCATCATCACATTTCATAATATACGCTGCAGTCAAGTTGTGGACCTACAGGAAAAAGGTAGCTGAGTTAAATTACTCATGCATTGGACTATATTTTCTAGGAAAGCTGCATATAGGAATATCCTAAAGAAAGTTCATATCAATCCTACCCCAAACTCACAAATCGCTATTGTTTTAAGAACCACTAAATCATAATGGTCCATGAATGGCAAAATCACAATATCCTTAAAATATTCAGCCTCTTTCTTCAGTGCTGCATTCACGTCCTTCCTTGGACTCTGAAAATACAATTTACATGTAAAAATTCAAAAAGGAAAAAAGCTTAATAAGAAAGAAACATGAAGGATTTGATAATTTCAGTGCATCCCGAGTTAAAGTTGTATGCCAAAATGATGCTGCAATAAATGCTTTAATTGGATAAGTCAACAGCATCTGAAGAACAAGGTTTGCTCCAGAAAAGAATATACCTCACAGAGCAAACATCCCTCTTTTGATGAAAAATGAAATCTTTATTTCATTGTGACAAAAAAGAAGTTTGTTCCTGAAAATAAGAAATCTCATAGACAATGTAACAAAATCCTGGGACCATCTAAATATCAGAGATTTTTTGAATTATATCATGTATAGCTGAAGATCCTAATAATTCTATCTTAATACCCATGGATTGACGAGTTCCTATTTGGAAGGTTTTTAAGACCAACAAAAAAACACATTTAGAATATTTTTCATTAATAAAATTACAATAAGATTCAAGTGTAACGACCCACCTTTTCCCTATTATCCAATATTTAAGCAACTAATATCACAAATAAACTATATTTTCTTCTGAGAGACTGAAGTGCATACCAAACTATTCAAAACTAAATTAAATTTTAAAAGAGACCAGAAGGATAATAACTGATGGTAAACATTATAGATTATCACAAGGTTAACGGCATATATTACTGGAAGGACTACTATGCCCAACAGTGACATGTAGTTAAGTGAACTATTTACCCAATTTCTTGCACCTTTACTATGCCAGGAAACTTCATTTATAAGAGCTCTGTAAAATGAGAGTGAAAGTGCATTATTATAAAATAGTTTACAAGTATGATAAAGTGTACTAAAACATTCATCATTTAGTTATTTATTTAAGCTGAAATAAGTTTAAATCTAATAGCAAACCTCTCTGTTCTGTCATAATTCTTGCATATTAGCACAAAGGTCCAGAAAATAAGCATATAAGCTTATGCAGGATTTAATTAGATAAATATCATTATGAAGTTAAGTATGATGCTGGTACAGAATTGGGACACTGAGGAACAGGAATGACACTTTGACATCTGTGATATCTTTAAAAATTATCACAGCACTGAACACTTGTTTAAATCATTGTCAATCATGTGACAAAATCCGGAAAACTTCATGTTGTAGATGACAAAGCCTTCTTGCACTGAACACTTGCTTTAGTCATCTTTATAGTTTATAACTGCATGGCCTATAATTTTCGAATACATTTACAAATGATGAATGGTGCAAATCAAGTGACGAATGGTTGTGGATGAAGTGCCACTATAACACAGAAAAGTCAGTTCCATCATTTGTAGGTAAAAAGATGCCTAAATATAGCAGTACAACATATTGTTAAGTAACAAATCACTAAATTAGAACCACCTAGCATAATGCTATATGCCCTAAACCACATTGTTGCTAGAGGCTTCAGCAGCACTTATCCGATGACTTAATTGTGTTTACATCTATTTTAATTTTTAAGCATTTTATTTGGGTCAGAATAACGTACAAGAACCCACTATTGGCTAATCATGCTACAAATTGGCATGATAACATAAACAAAGACTACACTTTTGTGATTATTCTTTTAGATTGAGGTAAAGTTTCATATCATATGTTTAGTTTCAAATGCAAGAAACAATGATACACGGTTCCGAACAAACCATACAATTTACCAGTGCAACAAAGAAACGGGCTATGGCCCTTGATGATAGGAATGCAGGATACTGCATCCAGGTTTTCCTGACAGCCATGCGCTCAGCAAAATGATTTGTAGCTGATAGAATGCCAATGAAAAGTTGAATTGGATTTCGTGGCAATGGAGTGGACTTCCATTTTTCTGACATCTCTAATACTTGTTGAACAGAGAAATGGGAAGTCGGAAGAGCAGTAGCATATACAGAGTGTATATCCACATCTCCTTTAATTGCTAAACCTGTCGCATCTTCGAGAATAAAACCCTGAAAAGAAAATCCGTAGATACCAACACATCTGTGATGACAGTCTTCAAGTCTCAAAATCTCAAAAATATTACCTTTGACTAAGGAGAAAAACAAGATTAGAACTACACACCGTCCGATATGGAAAAGAAGATATATGTCGGCCTCCCACATAAATGTTGTATCCTTCAACACCGGCCTGAATTGTGAGAACAAACAGCTTGCCTTCTGCAAATGGAAAAGGCCATGCCATGTCAGGCTTCTTTGGACGACCAACGAATCGCTTCAACCATGAAGTTATCTTTGTCTCCTTTGGGTCCAAGGAATCATCATGATCCCATTTCTCACATTTGACAAAATCATCAACTATAAAACAAGTCAACATTGTAGATCTTAGCAGAAAAAACATCCAATGATAAACTATAGCAAAAGTTCATGCCTGGTCTCAAAATAATTCACTATTGACTGAAGATTCCACATAAAGAAAGATTTTACTACTTTCATTCAATAATTAAGAGCTACGTACATAATGCAATAAATTTCCCAAGTAATTCGCAAAAGAATCCAATGACCCTTGTTCTGCAAAGCAAAGCAATACCATACAATAACGAGCAAATAAAAGTTACTGTAGCTTTTCCGAAAGTTAACAAATAGAAAAATATTATAGGTTTCAAACCAACGAAATGCTTCAATTTACACGGATCAACTTCTCATGAACTCGTTCTAGAGTAATTGTTCGTGGCAAGTGTTTCCAACAAAATGACCTGAGAAAACCTAAATCAGCAAAATATTAAAGAATCATGAAGCAGAGGACTAGAATAAACATTACCAGTTTCATCGTTCTCATGGGAAGGCACCCCGTCACAGCGCAGTGCCTTGCCCCACTGCATCCTGTAACAAGTATTATGCTCGACGATGGGCCTCTGACTCCAGTCACCCTTCAGCCTTGGATTCAAATGCAGAATCTTGGGCGGGTCCTCACCGTCAACCGACTTGAGCCCTTGCAGCTCTAACACGAACTGCGACAGCATCACGGTTCCATCTCCCTGCCTCAGACTCGCAAGCTGCGGCACATACTCCTGATGGGCATTGTGGGGCGTGCCCACAACCGTGATCGATGACCCTACTGCCAAACCGCAGGGCAGAAGCATCACCTTTTCCGTCGCAGCCTCAGCCATGCTCATTGACGACGGGCATGACTCCGGCTTAACTTCGACGGCCGTGGTAGGGTTCAATGCGACGTCTGAACCGTATTTCTCCACCTCCTCCCAAGCCTTGATGCCCAGAGCCCACGCCTCCTGCGCCATTCTCTCCAACTCCGAGAAATTCCCCCTTCGGTGGGGAACCCCGCCTTGCAGGTTACGGTTCATCGCTATACCGGTGACGGGACCGTAGCCGTCGTGGAGGCCATCCTCCAGCTTCCGGTGGTGCGCGCCGCCACGGCGGGCCGATCCGAACAAGCCCCGACCGACATCGGCGGCGCCGTCGGAGACGCTGCCATCGCCGCTGAAGAAGGCGGAGAGCTCACTGAAGCGTCGGAACTTGAATGCGATGAAGAGGAGGTAAAGCGTGGAGACGCCGAGGAGGAAATGGGAGATCATTCGTCGACGGCCCTGGAGGGACTCGACGCTCTTGCTCCGCTTCATTACTTGTGCGTCAAGCCCTAGCAATACGGAGGGGTCAGACCAAGGCCGCTAGGGTTTGGCTGCAGGGATCGCATGAGAGGGGCTTGCAGGAGAGTAGTGGTTTCGATCGAAGTGGAGGGAGAAGGGGAAAGGAGTTGAGATTAACAGAAGGCGGGATTAATCCGTTCTTTATCCATTAAGATCCTTATTAAAGCTGGGGATTTGATTAGGCCGTGGCATAAACAATTATAACTCTGTTTGGATTACCTGGCCGACCTACCTGCCCTGTGGTTTGAAGGGTCGATAAAATCGGCTGTGTCCCGCATCGACCCCTCAGGTATATTTGATGGGATCTGCGAGAGGGTAATGCTCGAAGATAAAGGACGAGGGAGGGCTTACTAAGACCTTCGTACTAGACTAAGAGTACCCGTTTAAGTACCTGAACGATCACTGGAGGAGTTCAGCGGGCACTATCTGATCCAACGTTGCTTCAGGCCACAACGTAAGTCGGTGAAACCGGAGGCAAACTTATTCCTCTAACGAACCCGAATTAAGTTGTTGTTTAGGAGGATTAAGTTTGTTGTTAGTAACTGCACGGCTCACATGCATTTCAGCAACGCTCCCGTATTCCGCAAACCTGCGCTGGGGTGATGATCAAGCTGACGTAATCACTTGGATACGTGGCACGAGATTCACGTCTTCTCAAGCGGGGTCCACGGTGGGGCTCAGAAACCCTACGGCCGGGGACGTGGCCCTCAGTCGGGTGGGGACCACTTAAGACAAGCCACCTCATTGCAGGACTCCGCAAGATGCGTACAGCGGGCTTCATCGACCGGAGAAGGAATAAATGATGACGTGGTTCCGAATGAGCTATTCGTTTTGAGTACATATTCATAGATACCCGAACTACACCTGCTTTGAGATTGGTCCACCCGTGGACCCGGGAAGCACGTAAGCCATGAATACGCACAATTTTTTCTCTTTTGGGAAGTTTCGAATTTACCCGCCGGTATACCGTGAAACGCGTTCCGACTGGGCCCCATAGCTCCTGCTTCGTTACCGCATTAAAAGAAAGATCAGTATTGATCTGTCTTTTTGCAGGGATGGTCAAGACCGAGTTAGAATGGTTTTGTGATGATATGTTTATGTCAGTCCACTCATTGGAGCAAAGCTATATAAATCATTGTCATGGAGTCTCTCGACTGGTTTTGGGTGATACGCTTTAGAGGGAGAAGAAACCATGTACATCACAGCAAACAGCGATAGCGTACAATACAGGCACGGCAAAGAGCTTCTTATAGGACGCCCAAGTTCTTGAGGCCTAAGACGACGCCGACGCCGATGATGTGGCCGACGGTGCCGCAGGCCAACGTGTCCGCCAAGGTGAACCCGGCAGGATCGCCGGTCTGCAGCCCAGAGTCGCGGGCTTCCAGCTTCAGCCCCGCCGTGGCCTTCCTGTTCGCAGACGGAGCCAACCCGAACCTCCCCGCGAACAACATCAAGCTTGTGCTCACCACCATTATCTGCCAAACACAGGGATTCCGTGAACGTTTAGCATCCAACACTTGTTGTATTTATGGATGTAACTGTTGAGTGTGACAATGCTCACGATGTTCGTCGACGAGCCGATGAAGTCACAGCGAGCACCCAAAGCTCCCCTCCCTCGCTGCCTGAGCTGAGGCAGCGCCACCTGCCAACAGAAGATTGCAGAAACATCCATGAAGCGTTCTCAATCGAGCGCAGAAAGATCCACGCAACAAGTGCACAGCAGCGGAACTCTCTAAACACCACGAGCGATCTGATATAACAGAACATATCACAGAACTATTGCTTCTGAACTCACCATTGATGGCTGGACCTTGAGGCCACTGAAGTGTGGGAGAGCACCCATGACTGAAGCTGGACAGGTGAGCTTGGAAGCCATGGCTTGTGTTGCAGTATAGTGACGAAACTGCTTCCCTTCTCCTTAACTTTTAGAGCATGGATGTGGAGACCTTGGATTGTCAACCACATGAATGGCTTGTGGACTCAGGTGGCTATCCACCCATGGATAATGTTTTTGATCTTGGTGCTGAAATGGCAGCCTCTGGTTAGCCGGACAAGTTTTGATAAGATAATGTCTGACCTTTGAAGTAGAGGGATCGATTCGCCTCTTCTGCCTGAGAACGCAAATTTTAATATATTGTATTTAGGAATCCCAATAAACTAAGTGGAGAGTGCACATAACAAATATATGTTTTATACTAAATTAGTAATAGAGGGAAGGGTAGTCTAGAAATTTAAATGAATAAATATTCAAGTGAACTGATATATTTAGGATTATTTTTATATATAGTGCTAGTTGGTGTGTTGCTTGAATCATCTAACAATGCAATTGCACCAATACGCCAATCACATGACTCGGTCGATGTGTTAGACACGCATGACGACTAAATAGGTAATGACTCTACCCGTTCTAATCTATGTTACACTTTTTCATTATTCTTTTTTTTAATCTTTACTTTTTATTATCTTTTATTTTTTTCTTTCATTCCTATCTTATATTTTTCTTCTCATCATTTTTTTTTCTACTTATATCTTTCTATGACAAGTGGATTTACAAAAACACTAAAATGTTTTTGATAAAGTCATTTAGTCTCACATTGATTGAGGAATATAAGAATCAATAACTCATGATCCGTCAAGTCTCTCTTACATTTTAAGGTATTTTTTGGAGCTAACGAGCCTATAAGCCGCATAAAGCCTAATTAAATTGTCCCTTATCAAATTGGTGCTAGAAATTATGCTTGATGCCTGCACCTCGATCGAGCAAACTCGCTTTCGAATCGTACACATTGACTCCCATGAGGGAGCACTGATAATATCATTATTCTTAATAGATTTATAGGGTAGGATACTTTAATTCATTAAAATATTTCGTATCTTACATGTTAATGTCTTCAAAAATCTTTTGTCAATATTAAGAATCAAGTTCTCTATCAAATTTGAAACATCTCGATAGTTAATGCACTATATCTCAAATAACATATACGTAATTCAATATAATAATTTTGAGAGAATAATTATTATTTTCATATCATATTTTTGATATAATATTAGTTTTTGTTATTGTAAATCCGGACAGGCAAGCGAAGGCCGCGTCTTGACGGGACACAAAGTCCACGCAACGACTCACCGACGACTTGGGCGTCAGTGTGAACGCAGGTGAATTTGGCGCTCTCGCCCCACAAATCCTTCAAACGGACGGTGGAGATCGCTTGGGTCATCGAAGCTTCTGGATCTCCATCCCCACTTCCTCTCCATCACGAACCAAACAATTAAATGGTCACGGCAACGCTTCATCTACCGTGTCTCCGTACTCGCTTCACTTACCCGCCTCAAGATCTTACGCATCGAAGGTGGGTCTCACGTAAGAGCCAGAAGTTCTCCACTCAAATAAAGGGTAGCGCCCGAGGACGACGTCGAAGGGGTGGAAAAAGTATTCTTTTGTTATACGGGACGTAATCCTCACGATTTTATACTTCCGGATCACCAGATCGAGGGGGAGAAATCCGCTGACGAGATTTGCTTTCCGAGTTCTTCGCGTGGATCGTAGAAGGTATGCAAATGGACGATCAAAACCTACAAAGTCTAAAATAGGAAGGATATTTGTTCTTTTCGTTTCTAGGGTTCGCAATTCGCATTCGCTTTCTGTTCTTGCCTGTCTCAATCAGACAAATTGCTCCTGATTGTTGGATTATCTGATGCTAGGTTTTGTTTCCCGATGTGCTGTTGCACTTAAGGAAATTAGGGGCTCTCGAGAACTGGTAAAATTGAGACTGCTGTTGTTCTTTTTGTTTCCGGGACGTCAATTAAGATTCTGTTGATCGTCACGATTAGATTTTGGGTGTGGATCGATATAATTGCTGGATTATACCGTGTGCAATACTTGAATGTGGAGGAAACACTCATAACCTCGGAAAATTTAGGAACAAGGTGAAAATTATATGAATAATTGCATAGCAAAATCGACGTGGATATCTCAAATACATTCTTTGATTGAAGTGGGTTGAGTAGGTATATTTATCTGCATCTCCAGTTTTTTTTTGTAAAATCATTATTAATGTTTCCACCTCCTGATATATCGCGCAACATGTTGTCTGAGGTATTTACCTGCGCTATCTGAGCATCGTAGATATTGGCAAGTTTTTGTCTTTCTCTGTTTACGAGGCATTTTAAACATTTTGAGAATTTTGGTTGATGTCTCAGGAACATTTTTGAGGTGATTGCAGACATTAGGCGTCTACATTTTGTAACTGCAAAGGAATCTGTTCCTGGAAGAAGGATATTAGTAGCTGGAACCAGAGCTATACATTGGTTTCCATTTCGGTGGATTCTGCAGTTTTTTCTAGTTCCAATTGTCACTCAGTAAAAACTTATATGAAATCATGACATCTTCTGTTCATGACTTATCTGGTAATTTTGTTTCCCATAGATGCGTTTCAGTTTTGTTGATGTATCTTGTATTTGCTGAGTCACTGACTGCTTAATGTTTACATTTTTTTTGGCAATAGTATAACCATTAGTGATCTATCATTCCAGTTTCTATAATTTATGCTATTGGTGCTTTGGTTTCAATCTTTTAACATATGAATTTGGTCAGTGTCTTTTGGCAAGTTGATTTTCAGGAAAATGAAAAGAAAATCTCTTATTGGAATTAGAAAGCTTTAGTAACTTTTACATGTTGAACTGTACCTCTTTCAACACATAGCACGACCAAACTGGTCTTTCTACAGGAACTGCCTACTTGTTCCATAGAATCGTAATACTTATAACAAGAAAAGTATAGTGTTAATGTAGTAATTGAAATAAAATGGCGAAAGAGCTTGGTTGTGTGAAGCTTTGGGACCTCGTGGATACCAAAATAACTAATCACTTTATGATATTGAATTACTCAGTTTGACTATCATGAACAGTCTAATTATAACCAAGTTCCACTTAATTAACTCAATGTATCTTCTCTCGTTTCTACTATGTTCAGATGCTACCTCAAGGAGCAATTTTCACTTTTTAAGTAATGTATCTTTTACATCCGTCTTGCATTTCTATATGTTAACGACTCATGAAGCTTTTGAGATATGGCTAATTTGTGGTCATTCTCATCTTGTATTTGTAGCTGTTCAAGTATTCTCGATGGTCAGGCATCTTACCCTCTATATTGAGCTTGATGGACAATGTTAATCAATTTTTGCAAACTTTGGACCAAAATTTCGTAAACATTATCTCACTGTGTAATTAATTTTAAACTATATATACGGTAGATTGTAGCTTATTTTTTGTGTCATATTAGCTACATTTTCTATGGTTGTTTTCTATCTTTTTCAGTCTAGTCTGTGTGCTACATTTGGATGTTCTGTTCATTGAAATATTTATGATTAATTCATCCAATATTTTTATAAAGAATTTAGGAAATTTTGAAATAATGAGTTTAGTATACTCTTTAATGATTCTTTATGATGATTTTTCAGGTAATAGAGAACCTGGTGAGCAACAAAAGCATGCAGAACCTGAGATCCGACATGAGCCTACTGCAACTACAAACTTGCAATATGGTGTGGAAACATCTTTGTCTGAGGGCACAGTGCCATATAGTCAGTTTGGAGTGGCACAAACTATGGTATCTTTCTATATTTTTTAGCGGAAATTATGTTACATTTTAAAGAACTTTTTACCAACTGAAAAATTTTTCGGTACCAGTTCCTTTGGAATTTTGTATTTTGAACACATTAGATTGGACAAAACTGCTTCAGAAGTTTGTTTTTTAAGTTGAGAAGTTGCCATACAAGGGTTGTGGCGTATGGTTATGTTGTTTTCTTCATCCTTTTTGTAGATATTTCTAATGACTTATGGTTATGGAGGTCTTGTCATCCTTCACAAAGATATCACCTCTACCTAATATGGGTTTATCAATACCAGGATCACTTTATATTTTGTGCCCATTGATACGACTGATGAAGTTTTGGAGGTTGCTTAGCATTGTGAATGAAAACTATGTGAGAGCTGGTTACTTGTCTTACAATGAAGATGTTTGTGCAAATTCTTTCTTTGGTAAATGATGCCAATTGTCTCCAGGCTTTTCATTTTGTTTCTTGTTAAATTACTTTTCATGACTTCTGTAGAATTTCAGCTTGTAGGTGATTAGGTATGTATGTGGACTGTGGAGAAAGGTTGTCAGTGAAAGTGTCTCGACAAAATTATCCTTGGAATTTCATGTTCTGGCTGGTGAACGGCTTGATATTCCAAAGCTTCTCACATTATTAATACCAGAATGAGCATGTGCAACTAGAGATAGTGGAAATAGGAAAAACCCTCTATCAGTGGGCGACATTTTTGTCAGAGATATCTGTTGTTTTATTTTGCTTTCTGTATAAATCGTTGGTCATGATATAAAAAAGGTAACTATTTATGCACAACATGGATCTGAATGTGATGTTTTTCTTAATTTTTGTGTTATCTAGTAAACGTATCTTTCTGTTGATGCTTTTAAAGTGCCACAATTGTATGTAGTTATATTTACACAACATAAATTGTCGAATTAGTCTGTGCGATATTTTCCCTCACATGTTCTCATCTTGTGCTACTTGTTATTGCCTTTTGTTGTCCTTAATTTTTGTATATATACTTCTTTGTATAAGCTTCTATATTGAGTTGTTACTAACTTAATAATACATATAATAGACTTCAAAATTTCTTTTCTTTTTTTCATGGTGGTGAATATTGATTGGGTGCAGTGACCATATAGTTTTTATTCCAGCTGCTTAGATCAGAAATGAATTTTCTCTTGTTGAAATAATTTGTTTCATCGGACTAGACATATGTGAGCATATCTTATAAAACTCATTTTACTAAATGTCAGTAAAATATGTTATTGCAGGCCCATTCAGCTTATCCATATGTAGATCCTTCCTATGGAGGCATTTATGCAGCCTACATTGGACAACCTGTGGTACGATACAAATTGTACTTGCAAGAAACTAGTTGAATGATGCCTTCATTTTGGCATTTGTTATAACTTTGTCATCAATTGTTACTGCACTTAGATTTACCCGCAACTGATTGCCATCCATCAATCGGGCGTACCTTTACCAACTGATGCAGCCGAAGAGCCTGTTTATGTCAATGCAAAGCAATATCATGGTATCCTGAGGCGTCGACAATCTCGAGCAAAGGCTGAATCAAAGAATAAGATGATTAAAGTTCGTAAGGTATGTCTCAGAGAGATGCACCAACTAATTTGCATGACCTACATTTTTTTATTTCTTAGCCTTACTCTGGGAGGGGGATGCCAGAATCATTTCTAGGACAGTTTTTCAGGAATGAGAATGTATTATGGTGATTGTGATGAGTTGTGCTTTTGTCTCGTTTTGTCTTGGTTGACCTTGTGGGACTGTGGTTACTTTCTTTAACTTTTCATCTTGGTCAGTTAATACTCTTGAATAGCTTATTTATCTTTACAATGGCTACTTCATGCCAGTTCTGAAAAGAATCTGATATATTTTTGTGACACCTGAAGGTTCTTGGAAGATTCTCTAATCATGTTGAGTGATTGTTACAGCCTTATCTACATGAGTCACGACACTTGCATGCGCTGAAAAGAGCTAGAGGATGTGGAGGAAGATTTCTCAACTCCAAGTCTGAAGGAAATCAACAGAATGAGGTTGCCTCAAGTGACCAGGACCAGCCTTCCAGCATCCCAGCTTTGGAGAAATGTTTTGGGACTCAGGAGAATGCAAACCTCTCAGGCGATAGAGTGGAATCTAATAAGGTTTCGAACTAATAAATCCCCTTTGGACCCTGAACAGAGTCAAAATCTTAATCTTATGTAGGTGTGTGATGCACTAAATACAGTGTTAGATGGCTCCATGTAGTCTCTGCAGGATACCAAGAGGCTCTGTGAAGGGGAAACTATTAGACTTTTCTCCTATACCAACTCGATATCTTGTTTCTTTTGATATCTATGTTTGGTGTTAGAAATATGCTATAGAAGTTGTATAAATTGATCGAACTGTGCATGGAGTTTGTAGGTTCTCAGAGTTGAGATAGTCTTGCAAGGTAATTATTTCTTTGATGGGCTGTACTTTTAAATTTTGTTCTCAACTGGCACTTAAATTGATCTGAAGTGCTCATTTTGGCGGTTCCAACTTCTGTCTTTTGATTGTCTGGTCCTACTCTTTTCCTTCCTGATTTCACTTCTCAATTTGTGGATGGAACAGAAAATAATGACAATGATGATAATAAATTTATGTTTCCAATGATGTGGGGTATGTTAGTCCAAAGCCGTTTGGCTTTCCTATATTACATAGTACAGATATAATTAGTTTGGATCAAAACCTAATTTAATTATGATTACCCATAAGAATTCATAAAAAAAAATATATATATAATAAATGATAAAAATAAGATTCTATTTTAGAATCTTAGGATAAAATGTTAATATTTTTTAAAATATATTAAGAGGAACCATATTATATTATTTATTGTATTGCTCTCGTGATTACTAATGTGACGAGAAAAGCAACACTAACTATACATTCAGTGACTTCTATGTATAATTAAAATTTAGTCATCACTCATGTATTTCACATGAGATGGATATGACCAGTGAATATTTATGACAGTTCACGAATTATATATATGGCTCTCGTGATTTCTACCATTCCTATATATATAAATATTCATGGAGTAAGCATGCCGACACCTGTGAAGAATTAGTTCCCATCTAGGCCTTCCCCACCGGCTTTACCCCATCCCACTTCGGTGCCCTGTGAATGGATGCAGTCGAGGGGCCCACACTGCCTCACGCTAAAAGCCAAGCAAGCAGGTGAGTTGGGTAATCCATCAGTTGCGGGCGTAGCGTCGCTGTACCCGTTTGTCGAACACAGTGATGTCTCCATCAACAGTTTAAAGCTTCTGCTCTCCGCACTCCACACGCACACACACACACTCTCTCTCTCTCTCTCTCTCTCTGTGCATCTCTCTCGCTCTCGATCCTACTCATCATCGCCACCGTTTCCACTACGCAATCGGCTTTATCTACCTCGCCATGTTACCTAATAATCTCTGCGTTGCGGCTGCTTCGATCTTTATATCGTTCCCTCCTTTTTGCTTTGCCCACAGGCTTCTCCCCCTCGACTCTTCTCCGCTTTATCACGAGCAGTGCCCGAAGCGGAAAAGAAGGCAGCACTACCGCCAGATAAAGTTAGGGTTCGTCAGATTCCCGTGCATTATTTTACAATTCTTTCTCTGTTTTATTATAGCGTTTCGTAGGTGGAACATCGGATTTGCTTGTCGGTTTCGCCCGAAGCACCTCCCTTTTCTCCCTGCGTTCTCTCTGCGTTCTCCTTCCCTGGCCAGGAGGCGCCGGCCGGGCTGGAGGAGACGGCTAGATTCGCGCGCGATGAGCTGGAAGAATAGAAAAGAGCCATTTGATTGGATTGATGGGGGAAAATCGGTTTTTGCGTGGGACCGGAGTGGGTTTTCCCTTTTACTCTGCTGATGGAAGTGATTATGGGAGCACAGAGGTGATGAGTTAATAGTTAAGCTAGAGATATGCTTGAATCCCCCAAAAAAGGGAGTAGCCATTATGATGGGCGAGATGCGATTTGAGTATGTTCGGCTGAAGGGGAGTAGAAGGAAATGTTGCTGTTTTTGTAAGGCGATGGTTCTCGGCATCTTTTAGCAACCCGATCAGATGGGAGATTTTGCATCATGTTTTCTGCTGGTTTTGTTCGATTGATAGGATCTTACTATTATGGCTTTAATGGGCGGCTTAGGCTTGTTCAAGCAAGGGTGGAAATGGATACAATCCCAGAAGCAGGCTTTTGTGAGTGTCCGAGTTGCTGTGATCTGCGTTGGAGAGAAACTGGTCCTTGTTATCGACCGCCACTGGCCATTGGTTTACAGCTGGTGTATGGTTGCTGGAAGGCTGCTTTTTAGGTTTATTTTGCAATGGAAAGATTGCGTTGTGGGAGGTTTGCGGTCCATGTTTACCTTAGGTTCAGCAGCTCTATTCGTCATCTTGTGGAGTTGCTTTCTTAGATTGACTTCGACAACCTCTCTTGTCTGCGTGCTTCTAAGTCTGGTTTGTTCTCGATCTTGATATGACTTTCTGCAATTGCAAGGTCTTCTCTTTGTTGGAATCATCTTTCACAGATTCTGCTTGGAAGAGCTAGTTAGGTGATACGTTTTGGGTTTCTGAATTTGATCACATCAAGTATCATTATCTCTCGCATTTTCCCAACGTACCTCTTATAATGAATAACGCTTTCTTGGCTAATCCATTGCTTTTGTTTCTGTTGATGATTTTTATATGTTATCAGCAAAATGTTAGTATACCTTAACATAATCAACTGTCTACTAAAATTGTATATGTAGTTTCCCCTTCTATAAATTGCTTCCCACTCTATAAATTGCCTTTCATGATTGCGTCAGTAAAAATTGTATGTTTAAATTTTAAACATTATACCCAATATTCTGGATTCTAATTACCACCCTTATGAATCACATAGTTTTGATAACCATGATTGAGATGATATAAATGCATTGAAAGTACTTTATTAAACTTCTTGACTTCTTGCTAAAAGATTTTAAATACTGTATTTTCTGCTGGGTTCCTTTTATATCTCCTTTGCCTCTTTTCTGCACTGGGCCTTCAATTATGCACCCAAATCCAATTCTCATGCTTGTGCTGACAGTGTGGTGGAGTTTGATCTACAGGCTTGGAAGTGAAATTGTTGAGAACAAAGTACACTTTTGTAGTTTATTAGTTATAGGAGAATCCAACTTTGTTATGAACTTATGATGTCAATTGGAAACAGCTTAGTGTCTTACTGGAACTGTTGCTGGCTACACTTGTCCTTTCCTGCTCAAATAACAATGTATGCAAGAAGATGTCACAGTGAGCAATAATGGTTATGGTTATGTAATTGATTTTTCTCATTCATGGTAAAGTTTGGCACAACTATTTGCTTTTTATCTAGTATCAGTTTGTGACTCATGGTCTTATATGCTGCTACTTCTTCACGGCACTTCATTGCCTGTTGCTTTTGTTTTGTGCTTCACATTACATTAACAGTGAACTTCATTTCCTATGCATTTCTTGAGTTCATCTAAGAACTTCTGTATTTAATACTTTCTTTGAAAGTATTTACTCTCACTTGTGTTATAGTCTGCCATTTGGAGAGTAGTGATTCAATGAAGACATCATCTATCTGAGAAGAACACAAGTTGTTGGATTTGAAATAAATCCAATGTGTCATGCTAACTTTACACATGTCTTGTAACAGGGAGCTGCTGCCACAGCCGTTCACTATTTGGGCTTCACACCTGGACTTCTTATGATTGGACTTTATGGTATTCTGATTATGTGGATATATGGCTACTTTTGGATAACAGCAATGCTATTTATAGCAGGAGGTACACAGAAAGATCTATTCAAATTTGCATCGACTTGTTTCTACATCTCTCAGCTAGTGGACTTGTTTCATGTGCAGGTTATATGTTCTCTCTTAATCATGCACGGTTCTTGATCTTAATGGCAACTACATATGCTGTTTATTGTATCAATACACGTGATGGGTTGCATGGAGTTTTTCTGTTGTTAAATCTTTCATTCATTTCCAATGATATATTGAATAAGTTACTTCAAGTATACGATGATACTAGTGAAGGCATACATATTGGAGAGCAAAAGGAATGGGAACAGTTTAAGGAAGACTTTTCTGTTGACAGTGAATGTTCTCCTCCGACTGAAGATGCTGAAGAAGTAGTATCTTCTCTATCATCTTGTACAACACCCAAGGCATCATATCTTACAGGTATTCATAAGGATGCTTCCTCTAGCAAGGTTGTCATAGCAGAATCTACTTCATTGGTTGAGATGAAAAGGATAATGAACAGCTCAAACCATTATGAAATCCTGGGTTTCCTTAGGAATAAGATTGTTGACCCTCAGATATTGAAGAAGGAATACCATAAAAAGGTGTGCAACTAGGAAATTTGAAGCATCAAAATTTTCCTTCAGTTAAATCAACCTGTACTTGATGCATAATACATCACAAGTTAACTGGTGTCTTTGGATTCCTAGGTGTTGCTTGTTCATCCTGACAAAAATATGGGAAGTCCGTTAGCGTGTGAATCATTTAAAAGGCTTCAGGGTGCCTATGAGGTAAATATTATTACAGAAAATTATTATTTTCTTGGTTTACTGAGTGAAATACTGTAGAAAAACAATAATTCAGTTGTTTTGGTAATAGTTTGGAACTAACAAGCAAACAATTTCAGATTCTTTCAGATTTGACAAAGAAGAAAAACTATGATGAACAATTGAGAAAAGAAGAATGTGGGAGAGTTTGTCAGAGATCTTCTGTTGCCTCTCAGAAGGTATAATATAAAATACATGGCACAACTTTGTGAATGTTTGAATTTCAAACCTTTAAACTTCTTCTTATGAAATATGTGATATGTCAGCCCATGTTTTATGCAATTTTAATGCTAAAATATTTGTTTTGTGATAAATGTTTGTTATGATTTTGAATCTAGATAACCTGACAGTTTTGCTTGGAGACTACCTGTAAGGTTGGTCTCCTTATGTGGTTCAGAAAGTTCTGCAACTGCCCAGTTGTTGCATCTAGTTGCCTTGGCATGGACTGGACACCCATTCAAGAGTGTCGCCACTCGCTACCATACTGAGTGCCTTTTGTAAATGTTCTCAAATTCTAACATGACATTTATTGATTGACCAAGTGACCTGTTGCTGATGCATGATCATTTGGTTTAAATTAGAATTTCTTAAGTTCTCTTCTATTGTAATGTATTTTGTCATAGTACTTCAAAAAGAGATTTTTGAGGTCGCACTTCTTTAGTGCATTTGAATCGTATTTCAAAACTCAAATCTTATGGGAATCAGTTATATATATATATATGTATGTATGTATGTATGTATGTGTGTGTGTGTGTGTGTGTTATCAATGCTAGATTGATCTGATTAAACATTTTGCCTTTCGAAAGCTGATTCATGTACATGAAGATAAGGTTTGCCTTACTAGTTCGAACTGGCATGTCGATTGGTTGACGGCACGATACGTGCCACCTCGTACCGGTATGCCAAGTGTCGGCATGATGGGGCATGTCGATGACACAA